TTTTTTTTTTTTTTTTTTTTTTTTTTTTTTTTTTTTTTTTTTTTTTAGTATGTGTTTGCACAACATCTGAGTGAAAGGATGGCTTGGCTGATTCCCTGAGAGATTTACAGGACTGTGACTTATTACTGGTCATTGAGGTTATTGAAATATGATGCAGTTATAAATGCAAAGTTTTATTTCATATTTTTAACAGAAGTTGGATTTTCAATTAGTACATTATCTTTCACACTTTTGGGGCTACATAAACTTGAATTAACATGACCCTAAAATTTTAGGTTGCTAGGTACAAACTATTGCTGTTCTATTTTCAAGTTGTTCATCACTTCTCATTCTCAGAGTTTTTAAGAATTAAAGGCTGTTTAGAGTCTCAAACTGTTGGAGCTTAGTCTGTCTGCTTTCTGTAAATGCTTATTTTTGGTTTTATATGGTGTATAATGAAATCTAATCTCTCATTTTCATTTTAGCAGCAATTGATTTGTCTTAACCACTGTCTTTATTTTAAAGAGCTGTGTAGCAGTCTGCCTGAAGAAAGAGTGTAAATCTTAATAGTTGGTGATCCAACTGTAAGCTTGGTATAATTAAGTATAAAGGGAATATGAGACTTTATGAGCTACATTGTTGGGATGTTGTGATAAAAACACATGCTGAGAAAGCTGTTGCAATGGTAACTATGAAGACAGTCATACTACAAAGCTAAATGTCTAGAGTTACAAACTTAATTTTGTAGGGGGAAAATTTGTATCAGCATTAGAGTTGTTTGGTTTGAATTTTTTTTTCTCAGGATTATTCTGATCTCTCTGTGCTAAGTCCTCTTTTATTTCATTTTTATGTTAGGATTCGTTGCACTTTTTGCTCAGACTGAATGGTGAACTTTGTTGGCAATTTGTGATCAGATTGTAGTGGTAGAAACTTCTGCTTCTGAATTTAATAACTGTTGGCAAAGCAAAGCAACAGCACTTTTTCTTTCCCCATCCTTGTCTTTAAACTCAGCTGACTTTGTGGTTGGTATTTGTGTGTATTGGAGGTGTCTGCTTACATTTTCACTTCAGGGAGTTTGTTTCTCTAACAGGAAGTAAGTGCCTTTGGTGATGATGGCGAAGGAGATGACCTGGATATCTGGATTGTGCAGTGCAGTGGGACTTACTGGGAGCGGGATGACGCAGTGCGCTTCAAGCATGTGGGGACCGAGGTGTTCCTGTCCATAACAGGAGAACAGTATGGCCACCCCATTAGAGGCCAGCGGGAAGTCCATGGCATGCCTGCTGCTAATCACCACAACTATTGGAAAGCAATGGAGGGAGTCTTCATCAAACCCAGTATGGACCCTGCAAAACATGATGAGCTCTGAATTAACAGAGGATCCAAAAGGCTTTAGCTGACTCCAAAGTTCAGAGATGCTAATCCTTGGTCTCTTCTAAGTTCCGCTTTGCCGGGGTGACTGACTTTCTGTGTTGCTGAAAGGCATTAGTTCATTCTAGGAATGCAGCACTTCTGTGGGGAATGGCCTCTGCCAGGTTCAGCCACTGACATTTATTTGGTGAAATCCTTTCTGAATTTTCAAGCTTTATTGACGGAACTAGTTCATACATCTGTTAGTTTTTGTTATCATTTGTTTGCTTGTTACTTTTTCTCAAATTTGAAGGAAATGGGAAAATGGAGGGAATACATTTCTGTAGCCCCAAGTACAATAAGACTTTGTATTTTGTAATCTTTTTCCAACTATAATTAAAAATTTGGAAACTGATTTCTATTTCTTAGTGAAAGCATGTCATTGATGAGGAGGTGGATTGAGTCTAGAAAAGGAAAAATGGTTCTTGAATATGGTGGTTTTTTTGAATGGCTTGAAGTCAGTTATTAAGCCTCTGAGTAAAAAAAAAAATAATCCATTTGAAAATAGCTTCCAGTGTGCTTCCTGAGTTTTGTTCTGTACTGTATTGGAAGAGTTGAAAATATTGTATATGTTGGAACAAGAAGGCAAAATTTTAATGTTTGTTTTGTTCAAGTAGCTCAGATGATCTGGTAATGATGATACTGCTAATTGTTTGTGGATAAGGTTGATCTGCTCTATGAACTGGTCCAGAAAGCAGCTACTTGTTTAATTAATATTAGAGTTTTATAAAATTCCATATGCTACAAAGGAACAGTTGAATTTGGCTTATGTTGTACTTGACTGTCACTCTGCAAGATCGGTATGAGAATTTGGATGAATAAATAGTGTGGCATATACCCATGTGAGGGTTTTTTTGTGTGAATCCAGAAGAGCAAAAGGAATCTTAGACGATGGTTTGATCCTGGATTTTTGACAGAATAGTGTGAGCTGGAGTGCTAGCAGGGAATCTTCACTGAACAAGTTAAGAATTTCTGTGTTCCTCTCCCTCTGCGAAAAGAGAAATTAATTCTTGACTGTGTTTCTTATACAGTGTTACTGGAAGTACCGATTAAAATTCAAAATACCATACATTTGCTCTTTAAACAGAAAAGCTCACCAAATGAGTGAGAAAACCCAGAAAACTCAGGTGTCCTTGTTTCGATGTATAAATAGTTTACTGATTATAGTGCTCATTAGTCAATCAGTTAAAGAAGCAGGAAAGTAATTTACTGCTTTTACAGCCCCAGTCACACGCTGCAGCATTAGGGTTGTGTTGAGAAGGTGCAACAAGCAGTTGCAGTTCAGCTTTAGAAATACAGCAGCTACTTTATAGGTCCTGCTCTGTGGTGCCTTGTGCAGTTGCTGTCCAGGCCAGCTCCAGGTTTTATTTAAGGGTTTCCTACCAAGGAAGATACTTTGTACCCTATGGAACAAAGAACCCCAGTCACAGTTGCTCTGTGTAGCTCATTATTTTTCTTCAAAGAAGAAGGTAAGAATGTCTTTCTATTAATTTTAGTTGAATGTGGGTATTTAAGGATTGCAGGTGTTTTGGAGTTAAAGTAGACTGGATCTTGCTGTTTTGTATTACAAGTAAACTTTTATGTGATTAATGTTTCAGGTTCACTGATATTTCTGACTAATTGGTATTGAAGTTGTAGCTATAAAAGAAAACTGTTTAAAAACAAAACAAACCTTTAACATAAACAAGCTGACTTTTCCTTTCCTTTATTAAAAAGGAGGGCTTTTTCTTTTGAAGACAGTATATAAGTAAAAACAAAAGTAGTGAGAGTATTTGACAGGAGGATAAAATTATATAGGCAATAAGTTCTCTGTCACGAAGAGCTAAAATGCTATATGCCTAAACCGTACGGGCTTATTGTTTGTGCTCCTGTGAAATATAGTTGGCTGAGGAGGGGGCAGAGCTGTGTGGCTCATCTCAGTCTGTGTGCCAGGTACTATCCCTACCCAATGTTTGTCTCTGCCTGGATGTTTATGTGCCTAGCAAAGGTATTTATCAATCTTATTTATTATGCTTGAGTGGGACTTCCCTGGACCTTTGTCTTTCTGTTCTGGATTTGAGCCAAATTGGTTTGGTTAGGCTGAGAAAAAAAAAAATACGTTTAGTCCTTATTGTTTACTTTCTAATACGATCTCAATTTTGAAAAATATTTGTACCTTTTGTTCCCAAAGAACCAAGCTTCCCCACACACATGAATGCCTTATTTAAAGACATATTCAACAATATTCCTGTGAACTGTTTCCTCGGCTTTTGATTCTGACCAAAGTGTGAAAGTAACTTGGCCTTAATATTTCGCATGAGTATGTGTCACAGTAGTTGTGGTTTTTTTAGTTGCTTAGGTTTTTTCCTGATTTTTATCACTATAAAAATGAAGGACTCTTAAATAAGGCCAGTTTAAGTACATCCTAATTTGGAAAGGTGTACTATAGGACTTAAAGAACCATTGGTACTCCCAGCATGCTAAATGCTGGCTAGGAGGAAAGGTCTCATTAACGTAGGAAGTGCAAAAGTTATAACTGTGAAAAATTATGTGCAAGTACTGAGATCCAGAGTGTGGTTCAGGTGTTTTTTATTTCCTTCAGCTGTTTACAGTTCAACTTTTCAGTCCTTCCACCACAGGTGAGCTCTAGAGATATGGAGAGTCTCAGTTTTTATATTGTGGAGTGGTGTTGTTTGTTTTCTATATGATTTTATCATCTGCCCAAGGATGTTGGGGCTCTAGGGTAAAGCATGAAACACTGAGATAGATATAAAACTTGGGAGTGCTGTTTTGCTTATTTGTTTTCCTTTATTTTAAGGTGATCAATTTTATAATATCTCCTGTCACAATTCTCCATATGCTTCAATGTTAAGTGAACTCTGTTTATTTTGACTTCTGATGCTAGCAGATAATAATTCTTTTAAATAAAAAATGCTTCCAAATTTCTCGCTTACTACTACAGGAAGTCGTTAAAAAGGTGCACCAATGTTGTTACTCTTCCTTCAGTAAACTAGAAAGGCTTTTGGAGAAAGGATTAGGGGAATCTGTATTTATAGTTGTTCTTAGTGGGAATAGTTGCTAAAGACTATCTACTCTGAACTGTGTTGAAAACAATCTGTCAAATACTGCATTTTACACGTGTATATATCTAGTTCAATGTAAAATGACAAAGTTCCTTAAATGTGCTAATTTTGGAGGCAAGTGTGTGTCTACAAACATTTTTACTCATTTCTGGAAGGTTTTTAAAGCTCTGGGTAACTGCTCAGCATGTGAACACTTGCTACATGTTTTGGTTTCACAGTGTGAATGAGGACTGGTTTTAGTTCTTCGAAAGTGCTGGATGAGATGTACATTCATTCTGAATATTGAGGCTAGATATAAACCCATGTTTTAATTTAATTTATTATGTTTGGGATTACTGATTGGGTATATCTGCTCTTATTAAGTTAAATTAGCTGATCTTTCTTTTTAAGACCAAAAAAAAAACTACCATCAAAACAACCATTACTGATTGGGTATATCTGCTCTTATTAAGTTAAATTAGCTGATCTTTCTTTTTAAGACCAAAAAAAAAACTACCATCAAAACAACCCTGTAACAGTGAAGCTTGCTCAGCAGCGTTCTTAAGCCTGTGAGTTTTACTGAATCTTCTTTCTCTTCTGCCTCTCTTCTCCAGCACTGAAGCAGTAGCTAGCACTGTAGATGCACTGCCATGTTTCATACCTGTGCTAGACAGAGGCTGAACCTTATCAGGACCCTCTTTCCAGCAGCAACATCTTGCTGTGTGTCTGAATCCATGCTTGACATTGTTGCTGCCTCTTTGTTAAATTCCCTGCTGGCAGAGAATTTGTGTATGTAGGGTGCCTGATGATGCTGCCCCTGTATCCTAGTTTTGAGTTTCCATCTGTGTCCTTTTGGTTTTGCAATTCTCTCTTGAAACACATTTTCCTGTAATACAGCTCTGGGACACCGTTCAAATATGTTGGATAATTAGTTGCTTCATAACATGGCTGTTTCATCAGTTGCCTTTCAGGAACCCATGTTTTTGGGGATACAAGGCAGCACTTGTGGTTGTGTCATTAAGCTTTGTAAGGAAACAACTACAACAAAAAAGTTACCCTAAACAGGAGTACTTGGAGATAAGGAAGTGCTTTCCTCTTGATTGTGTTTGATTCTGTCCTGGGGGATAGGAAGCACAGCGGGGTGGTTTGCTTCCTCAAGGAGGAATAAAACGTTCAACCTTACCAACCCAGAGTTGCATAGAAACACAAGGCAATTCAAAATTAGCGTATGTAGCATTTATTATGTATGCAAATCACAAAGAGTAATAAACTTTAGGATCCTAAGGTTTTTGAAATGCTTAGAGGAATAAATATTTTATACTTTTTCTCCTCCTCTCACTGACATTCCAAGCATCTTAGAGCTCCCATGTTTATAAATACTTTCGCAGGACATGGAGTATTTGTATCTAATATTTTTTTCCTCTAAAGATAGAACACCAGGGTTAGCTCCTTTTCTTCTATTTCCTGAATCAAGCTTGCAGTAATTGCAGTAATGTGTGGGAATTGTTTGAGGTGGTCAACCAACTCCTCTGAGGACAGTACTGCATTACTTTGGGTGTGTATGAGACGAGGAGGGAATGCAGTGACCACCTAGAAAAGTAGACTTTATTAGCTGTGCCATTCAACACTTCTTTCTCTTTAAATTGCATGAAATTAAATTGATTATAAAAACCTTTTTGCTTTATTTGGTAATGTGCTAATTCTAAATTAGCATAAAGTTCACAGTGAAATCCTCCTCTCATACTGATTCAAGCGACTGTTCTGTGAGGGATTCAGCTGTCTTCAATCCTTTGGGAAAATGGTGACCTGCTTTATTAGGGTAAGAAGCATTAGAAGCTGTATGACATCTCAAGGGTACCAAATCCTTAAGAAACATTAGAAGTTAATCAGAATGTATGCAAGCTGCAAAGCTGCCTGATTAGTTCCTATCTGCTTTTTCTAAACTATAAAAGTAATGTGCGAGTGTTGGCATTGCATGTCTGGAGGTCTGTTGAGCTGTGACTGGGATCTAAGGCTCTTTGTTTGATCTCTGTGATGGTTATGTATTTATCCACCTAAGCTTCATTTTCTGAGAGTGCTGATTAGTAATATAAGTGTGTGCTGTACTGAATGTCGAAGTATCTCAGACCACAGCTAAACATAAGACTCAATAGGTACCCAGTGTTGTTATTTTTCTTCTGCTGATGCCTTCTCAGCCTCATCTCTGCCGGCCCAGCCGCTGCAGGCTGGAAGGGTCGGGCTGACTGCAGCCCCCTTCCCGCGGCTCCCTGGACTGGCCAATGACTACTCTGTCCTGCCTAGGGAACTGCCCTGTGGATGAGCTGTATGAAAACTTGTGTGGGGTATATGCGAGCAGGGCCGTTCTGAGGAGAAAGGGGCGGGCGCGTCTTTCCCCTTATCTCCGTCTGGAAGCGGGGAGCGGGCCGGGAGCGGCGGCCGCTAGTGAGCGCTGCTCCTCCGCCTGCTGCTCCCGAGCGCTGCCGGCTCCCTGGGAATCGAGCGCCTTTGGCAGCCCGGCAGTGTTTCAGCTGCGCAGCTTTGATCGCTGCAGATTTATACTCTTCAGGGGGAAACAAATAACATCCGCTTCCCCCGCGTTACACTGCTAAGGCGATCAGCTGCTGCAAGACCTCCCGTGCGGCCGTGCCTCGCGTTAGGTGGGCTCTGGCAAGTCATGTACTGCTTGGTTATTTGAAAGGGAAGTTTAAAACATTAGCGTATGCTCTGAAGCGGGGCTTCAGGCGTTTCTATTTCCTGTTTTTCTTTAGGATCGATAAAGTGCGGCCAAGGTTGAAGTCTGTTTGCTTACAGTAGACATCTAAGGCAATTACCTGTATTGTAAAATTAAATGCTGGTTTCTGCTCGGTGGGGAGAAGGAAAGGCCCAAAAGCATGGTTAAGCAGGGAGCTCACCTCCTTCTGTCATCTACAAAAAAACTCATTGCATCTTGCAAGATCTCAACAGCAAAAGCGAAAACGAAAGGATCTCTTTCTGGCCAGAATACGTTGCTCATCAGTGGTAACACTTACATGAAGAAGTTCCTTGTCCCTGATGTGACTCACCTGGCTCTCCTCGGCTCTTGCTGGACCACTTCCCCTAGAGTGGATCCTGTGTCACCCGCCGAGGCTTCCCTTTGGCATGAGGAGCTGCCATCTCTTACCGACGCGGTATCGGTTTGCGAGCCACTGAGAGGCTTCTCCCTGCCATCCTGCAGGGATGCAGCTCCCGCTGAGTGCGTGGGTCACCCACATCGCGCTCCGCCAGCCGTCCTCGGTGAAGACAGGGCTGGCGGGTCCAGCTCCCCTTCCTGCCGGAGCAGTTATTGCCAAGAGTTTTGTCCATGTGCCAAAAAAAAAGATTCTTTTTCTGCAGATCTGCCCGGCAGTGCAATTTTGGTTTCTCAGCATCCACTACCTGCTGATATTCCTTCATGTCTAGGGAAAAAATGCTTTCACACCAAACCTGCGTTTCCTCAGCAATACGAACCAACGGTGATGAGAGTGGCTCTCAGTCAGGCTCGGAGACTTCAGTCTCTAGGACAAAATAGCTTAAAATATTAAAATACTCGTCTATCTATATGGCCGCTGTTTTACCTCATGAGATGGGAAGCTGTTTATTGTGAGCAGTTAACTGAAATCTTGCAAAAAAAGTCCCAGCAGCCTCGGAGCCCCCCCCCTCCCCCCCATCTCGTCTCTGGGCGGGGGGTAAAGAGCTTCGTGACGCCCCTTAGGAAGGCTGCCTTTCCCAAGGCTAAAGCCGGGCGCTGGAGGACAGGAGGGATGCTGCTCTTCAAGGGGCGGGAAGGGACGACCGGACTGGACGCAACAGATTTGCTCTTTAAAGTGTAAATTCTCACCTGGGAGAGCACAACTTTGCTCCTTCCTACTCAGAAAGGTAGAGGTGATTGTGATTTTTGGAAGTGGCAGCTGGAGTTGAAGGGACACCCTCCTCAAGGAAAGTAGTGAAGGGTAGCAGAGAAAAAGCCTGAAAACCCTCCCAAGAGTGGAAGTTTGACAACGCGGCTTTTACGGTTTCCTCCCCA